CACTTTGGCTAGTCTAACCTAACCGTTTCCTGAATGTAGCTACTTATTTAGCATTCAGGCGCGAGAGGAAGAATCTAATTCCTCATTGGCCTTCCAGAAAGAAAGCAAATGCATTTATGTTTTTCCCACTAGGGGGCAGTGGAAACAAGCTGTAGATACAACACTGACATAAAAGAGGCTTCTCAATACTCAAATGTCCCCTCCTCGACTCCTCGGTCCTCCGGTAGTGACCCGGAAATGAATTTCAGCGCGCCATTTTGAAGGACATCTAATTTCTCTAAATGCACATCGAGGACCGAGGATCGAGCGTCGAGGAGGCTCTCTGGAGGAGCTATAACCGAGGAGACACTGATGGGTCCTCCACGGCTCCTTCGCGGATGCATTTCCGGGAACGGCGGAGGCGTGACGCACGGCCGGACTTATCTCAGCCAATGACAGCTCTGCATGCATCCCCTGGATATTATTTTAGAAACTGTGTTCATCGCGTAGCCGATAGTCTGTGCAGAAAGTAGAGCAGTGTGTATAATATATATCACTCAGTATAACAGGCTTAAAATCCCGATAGCAATGAATATCTGAAGTGCTTTTGACAACAAATCCATAAAAAAATGTCATCTGTGGAAGCCGTAGCGCTGTAAAAAGCACGACCAATCATCTGAGCCGGCCCGGCTAAAATAACTGGATGGCCTACCTGCCTGTCAGCCTTCCATCTGTGCACAAACTCATCTCGTGCCCTCATTGGTCATGTGCGTTCGTGTGTGTTGGAGGAGGGGCTCTGTAAGGAAGTGGCAGATTTTTTCCGGCTGTGTATTTTCAAATTCTAGCGCACTCGAGCTGGGCTGCGTTTCACTTCTCTTATTTTTCATTTCCTCGCTCCTCGGTCTCGGTCTCACCGGAAGTTGATTTGTCTGCGCCATCTTGAGTAGCGACCCAGTGGCCTTATTTTTGCCGGAGGATCAAGGATCGAGGAGTGATAATGGAGGAGCGATAATCGAGGAACCACCAGACCATCCTCCGATGAAATCCTCAGACACTCGCCCCGCCCCCTGACTGTGCATCGCTCACTGATTGGACGATGCAGTGCATTCACTGATCTCATGCTTCATGACATGAGAGCAGTTTCCCATCGGAGTGAAGAAAATACATGAACCTCACTGGAGTCACTCCTCAGTTTATACCGTGTTTTGTTTAAATTAATGTATCACTTAGTTACAAATATGTGATATATCTGAACAACAAAGTGGTCAAAAATAATTTTTTCGTTTTATATTTTCATTTATTGTCGTTTCCATTCAGTCAGTCATTAAGTACTATTTAAAATGTTAATGTGCTACACATCCACACAAACAAAGTGTGCAATCCAATGAATGTTAATCTAACTGGGTTTTGATAGGCTATAGATAACATATCTCTTTTTCTTCTCTCAATTATTTTATTTCTATTGTGCACTCTAATCAATATTAATCTAACTATTGTTCGTTTATACATGTTAAGAATGGCGTTTATCTTTTTCGAGAATGAGTTCTTATTTTATTGATTTGGGTCTACAACAGATGATACAAATGTTTATGTCAGTAAATGTGTACTAACAGAGCGTTTGTGAAAATAACGGGGACAGAGCTGGCTGCTGTCAGACGATCAGCTGTGCGGCGTCATCACAAACGGACGTCGCTTCACGTGACGCTCCGGAGGCCGACATCCCATTGCTCTTAAAACTCATTTCCCTGCTTCTCGTGGTTTCCTTGCGTCTCTCCATGCTTCCCTGGTGGGAGGGACTAGTTGCAGGGAAACGACGCAAGGGAGGGACGCAAGGAATCCATTTAACTGAAGTGAAATGCAGCCAGAGTCTTAAGTTTATATGGCGCACTTGCTAGCAAAAAGTTGCATATGTACACATCCGGCAGATAGCCTACAGGTGACCAGATAAACGTAATTCCTCACTATTATCAATCTATCAACCATCTATCAATCTATCTATCTATCAATTACTCACCTTAAGCTGTGTTTATTGCCACTATTGAAAGTAATGTCTAGGCTGTCTAAGCTGCTAAATGCGCCACAATGTTTAACTAGTTGCTAACGTTGCTTGAATATAAAAATATGCTGTCGTGAGAATAAACCAAAACAGTAAAGTTGCAGTCTGAGAGTGGGGTAATAAGTATCTTCTTATTACCTTACCATGTAATGTTTTTACAGTAGATCGTTTTGTTTGTTTGCTATTCCGTAAACAGGATTATGGAAAAACAAGTGGCACGATTTTCATAAAACTGTGTGTAGCCTACGGCTGTAGCATGGGAGAAGAACCGGGTCTATTGTATTTTGAGGGGTGGATACAATAAATGTGGCTTTGGTAGGAATCTACAATCTTTCAATTGCCCTTCTAGTTTCTTCAGTGTGATCCATCGTTAACAACATGTCTATAACCGCTTTAATAGTAGTTGTCTGACTTATAGAATATAAAGCTTAACATTTGAGTCAGGGGTCCTATTCTTGAGTTTGTGCATGTTTTACATCAAGTAATGTTTAAAATAAACTACCCCAATCAAAGAAACACTTATCGTTGAACCCAGTGGTCTCCATCCCTGTGCTATTGAAATCATGTTCATGCAGGATAGCGTTGGAGCCAAACACGAGAGCAGGTAATTTCACTGATTACTTCCTTCTGAATGAAGGTGTGGTGATCAGGGAAATGAAACGCTCAAGTGTTTGCTACAGATGCTCTGAACTGCACACCGTTTGTTCCACCACCAAGTTATTTTCATCTCTCTTGATTCTGTTACTTACTGTCTGTCTTCCCCTTCAATCTGTATCTCTTCTTCACACGTCTGCTGTCATCGTCCCCTCTCTCTGTCCCTTCTTTCCTCTCTTTCTTCTTGCCATCCCTCATACGAAGAGAAACCCTTGTCTTCGTACTGTATGTGAATAATACATTGGCCTCTGAGGTTTTGAATGCGGAGAGAGAATAACATCCCGGGCCCGAGCTGTTTTTCTGTCTGCTCACCTCCCAGGACCCTCACACTCACAGCGCCTGGCCAGCTGCTGAGAGGAATACTGAGTGATATCCTTTAATAACACATATCACACCTTTTATAGGCAGGTCACCCATGCAGAAACACATTCACACACCTTTATTTATATTCCGCGTGTGCATGAGGGTGACACCACAATGAATATAAAACATCCGAAACTTCATGATCCGCCGCGTAGTTACGATACAGTTTTATCTTTCTTAGGATAATGGGCCATCATTGCTTGTTGCCTTGTCTTGGGTAATTTATTGTGCAAATCCTGAAACCTTTGCTGCATTGGAAACATCTGCTCTGAAAAAAAACAATCTGTAATGGAACACCGGCTTCTGGATCCTTTAATGAAGAGACAATTACAAATTCACAGCTAGCCTCCCCTTCCCCAGAAGCCTGACATCATAACAGGGACAAATGAGAGCAAGTCTCCTTCTAATTGATAACCTCATTACCTTTGTCTACTAAGCTATTAACAGCCCCCTGCTCTATAGTGCCCGGGTCACAAGGTCACCAATGGGACTCGCATATGAGAGCAGCCAGCATTAAATTGGTACAAGCTGGCCTGTCCTACGTGTGCTACACTCGCTGTCAAAAGACTCCGTCCAACATCTCAGTGGGGCGCCTCCTGCCAGCAGCTGCTCTTTGATGATAAAAACAGAGAAAGGTGCATGCAGGAATGTTGTATGGAGGGACCTGGCGATGGAGGTGTCAGGTGCCTGAGATTGTTATCACCAAAGCTGACAATGCCTCTGCTCTTCCACTTTGTGAGATGCACATCAGGACATGTGTGGAAGAAAGAATCTCAGCAAACCATATAACTTGATGTCCCATATGTCTCTGTAGGAACTAATATAAACGTCTGATCGAGGTGTTTTGTTTGTTCAGCTTCTGAGCTTTGTCAGTATTAAGTGAGAAGTTGAATTCTGTTTGCATAACAGCTTAATGGTCTCTGCGTAAGGCTGCCAATAAACACGCTATAGGTTATAGGTTCTCTCCAGGCACTACGTAGATTGTGGCTCTAGAGCGGTTTTTCACCAATCAAACACATCAAATAATTTGCTTAGTTACTACTTCAAAGATGTCAATTTTATACTCTTTGACAAGCAGTAATGGCAGGTGCGTTTTTGTGGATCTCATTTCCCAGAGATCCAAACTGCCTTTTCTTGGGAATGTTGCTGCAGTTTTTTTTAATACTGCAGTATCAATCCTCATTGCTTTACCTCATTGGGGATGCATACTTACATTCATTATAATGCAAATCTTTAAGATTATTACTTTAGTCTCCAGCCTCTACAGTGATGCTTTTATTTTATCTTGTGAGTCTGTCTGGGTGTCATCATAGCAAAATGGCTTCTGAAACATCTACTGTAGCAGGAACTGGGGTTTTTGAGTACTTTGTAGTCTTAATGTTTCTGTCTATCACTGCAGTAGCGTGAATTTTAAAATGACTGTGTTTTAAGCAAGGGCACCATAAGTATAGGGCAAGGAAGAAGGGACCCCCCCCCCCACCAAACACACACAAACACACACACTTTACGCCACTTGCATGATTTTGCATCTTGTTTATTATAACTGCAAAGCAAGACTGTATTTAGTCTAACTACGTCAATAAATGGCCAAAGATATATATATATGTTCTTATTTGGGGGGCTGTACAACTCTGATATCCACAACATCTGGTTGTCAGCAATTAAATCTAAAAAAAATGAAGCTTTTATCAAGATTTAATGCTGATAAGTACAGCTGTTCTTTTTTTTTTTTTATCATTTGTTTAAAATTAACTGCAAGGCTTATGTGTTGTCATCTTCATAGCACTGCAGTATGAGCTGATATTCATTTCCATGAAGGCAACACCTCCTTCTTCTCTAGTATTTTCTTCAATGCTGATGATCTGGGCTGTGGATTACTATACTGAATCGACACACATTGTGTAGGCGCACATACAAACCTAACTTCATTATTATAACTAGAAGTCACTGGAGGGAAGTCAATGTAGTCAATGTAGTGAAATTGATCTAAGCTGTGAGTACAAAGTCGTATTTAATGAAGCGTGACTTTCGTCGATAGGTCTTCTAAGCAGATCCCTAAAGGGGCTTACACACCAAACTGACACCAATTCGTCATTCAAAAGAGGCAACAACCGGAAGACAGACTACATGATACACCGAGAGAAGAAGAACAGACTGCGTGATATAAACAAACAACAAATAGCGTGTGCGTTCCATTTTCACAGCGAGAAGCTCATGGGGCTTTCACGAACCTGTGTCGAGAGCTGGAGTTAAATTAAATCTCTGATTTGCCTTCTTAATAGTTTGTTTGGGTCCCTCACTTCCGTTTCGCTTCTCATGCACTTATTCGTTAAGCTGAACAGCCAATCAGAGTGATTTCTTTGGCCGACGGCTTTTAGCCGACAGCCTCCCGATTCAAGATATCGAATCGGCGGCGGAAGATGTCGGCACGGCCGAAAAGACACGACGGCGTGGGACACACCAATCTGAGTAGGGCGACTGGATGCTCATCGACGGCCAGACATCTATCGACATCTATTGACGGCCAAAATCGGGTTGGTGTGTCCGGGCCATTAAAATAACTAAATATCTCTCCAACCATGCATATCCTCGACATACTGTATTTACCCGTTAACAATCCATTAAAAAAGGCACGTTGTCTGCGGCCAATCGTGTGACATTGTTGACCAATCATAAAGCCTTACTCCAAAATATGACGTTATCTGTTTTATTGATTTCGCATCTCATAAACCTGGTATATTTTGTAAAAATAAGCTTAATTTAGCTCTTCAAAAATCTCCCTTCTTATATTTCTTTGGGATGGAATAGTTTCAACAATAGGTCTTTATTGCGACGACCAAACTATTTGCCAACAACAATCCACCAACAAGCTCACTTCATGTAGCTCTCCCTGTCTGACAGCTTTCCAGTTGGCTCAATTATTAGTAGTGCTGACAGTTAATTGGTTCTCCTCAAAGGTCTTGAGATACTAAAACTCGTATGGGAATTCTTCAAAGGCGGCGCTGTCATTAGTGATGAGCTGTTGAGTGTTTCTCCCATCCACACCAAGACTTTTACTCTTGTGCTATTTTAACACTTATCCTGACAGGCAGCACTACATCAAAGATGAAATAAATCGTTGAAGAACTATTTCGTAATTCTGCTGACAGGAACTTTTGGATTTGTGCCAAAAGATAAGTATCAATGCTACAAAAAACTGTCTAAGTTCAACATTCTGCCGATATGGCTTGAACAAGATATAAAGCTGTGCTAAAGTCAACATTTTAATATTAGCAAATGATCAAAGGACAGTTAGGAATGACTTATATTCATTAGGTGTTCATGAACATAGCGCAAAATTAATGCTAATGTTTCTCCCCTAGTTAGCTGAAAAACACTTGAAGTTTTTAAAATGAGTTATTATCAAAAATGTTTCCAAGTGATCACATTTTTCCACTATTTTATAAGATGCTCTTTATTGTACTTGCCAAAGTTTAATGAATGAGATGATGTGTCTTTAACTTGAATAATTCAGCACCTTTACAGTGTTATACATAGAGAGCGATACCCATCCTGCCAATGTGTTTTGCAGTCGCAACGGTAGCATTTGTAATATTAGTGGTAGGTGAGAGAAGTTCATATTTTTCTAAGTACTGAAATATATTTGAATTGTCCCTGACACCAGGCTATGCTAGTAGTAAAGTATACATTTAGTCATTGGTGCAAACCAATGACCTGTTAAAATGTTGACATTGAGACACAGGGAAGAACTTCCTAATAGAGCCAATCTTGATGGTCCCTTCGACATGCAGTCAGATTTGGTCCCAAAACGGCATTGTGGGTATTTAGGCCTCTCATCAGATCAACAGGATGCTTAGCAAGTGTTTCCTGATGGACGCCTACAGGAAGGTGGACATGAGTGGCAGCTTGGCAGCCAGTGGTGGAGAGATCCATCATGTCATGACAGGAAGGAGAGGGCTCTGACGTCTTGGCCTGCCCTGAGAGGCCAGCGCCTGTCAGCTTAATGAGGCTCCCACTGACAGGTGATGTGGTTGTTAGATTCTGTGTGTGTGAATGTATGTGTGCTGGTGAGGAGGATTTTCACTTAAACAAGTGCCTCGTTAGCATGACTTCTACAGTTGAAATGTCCGTTATTGCATCGCCAACCGCCTTGTGTTGCTCTTTGATTTGTTTCCTAGAAAAATCACTTTTAAAATAATTGTTTCTATCTATAGCCAATCAGATGTCTCCTTCATTCTAAGCCAATCACATGAGCACGCCCCCACGAGGGTACGATTTCTTGCGTTCATGACGTATTGCTTCATATACGCATTTTGCGCTGTCCAGAGCTGACAGGTCCATGGAGCCTACCTGCAGGCGTTAATCTCAGGACCGAAGGACCGTAGTATAGTCGTATTTAGTTTTACGTTATTATTATTCAAAGATAAATAAGGAAGTGTGTGTTATATGAGATGGCAGAGAGGTTTCAGCTCCGATTATTAAATCAAAGAGGCTTAATGTTTTCGATTATATTATTTCACTATAGCTATGTGGACGGTGTCAAGGTCCAATGTTGACAAAATGAATCAATAGCGGGTGTAACTAAAATACAATATGTCTTTATTAATAATAATAATAATAATATAACTTTTTGCATTTGCGTGCATTTCCTGTTCGGAAAGTGGCGCTGTTCTGAGAGTGGCGATTTTATTCTTCTTTTATTCATTCTGAGTCAGCTTCTCGAGCCGTATCTCGTGCAACACTTATAGTCACATACTGTATGCCGAAGTGTTATTTTAAACAACACATTAAGTTGACGAAACACTTGAGTCGAATGTAATTAAAGTCAAATCCACTCGTGTCACATTTAGGCAGTGATAATAATAATAATAATAATAATAATAATAATACATGGGACTTATATAGCGCTTTTCTGGAAACTCAAAGACGCTTTGACAGAGAATTAAAAAAGACAACAACAAAAAAACATGATATCATAAACCTGTTGATGTACCAGCTGTCCTGTATTCACCTTGCAGGTGCAGCTATGTTGCTTTTATCCTGGATCAAGTGTTCAAGTCATGGTTGTTTAAAGTTTAACTTCTTCATATTTGTCTATTATAGTTTACTTTTCATTCATGAAGTATGACGCTGCGCTGTCAGTAGGCTTGTCTCTGTTTGTGATTGGTCAAATGTTGCTCACCCCGTCCCTTTCACGTGAATGCGCTCTCGGCCGGACAGAGAAACCCTGGGTTGATTTACTGAGTTGATAACCAGCATCGTAGGCATACTTGCCAACCCTCCCGAAAAAAGTCGTATTCGTCGTGTGACTGCATGTGCCGAACCATGACGTCCGAACCGTGAGGGTACGGGACGAATACGGATACCGTTACACCCCTAATGTGTAGATGCTATTTTCATCTTTAAAAGTCTGTTTCCCCGCTGCGAGGCTCCAGCACTAACAGGTCTAACAGCTTGAAATGCTCCCAATATCTGAGGTCTCAAGGTTGGCAAGTATGGTCGTAAGACCGCTTAGCGGGATCTCGCTTGTTAGGGTTGGTTGAGCCAGATAACTCAGAGATATCCAGGGTCTGTAGAACTTGCTTCGTAGTACAGGCTGCTGGTCGATTAGGCTAAGCTAACCTAGCTGCTCCCTCCACACTCACAACAACTTCATACAGACATAAATAAACCAGCTGTATTCGCCATAAAGGAAACACACATTTGAAACGGTTTTGCCTGCCGTTTTTGTGTGCACAAGCATTCATTAATGGTTTGGAAAGTGGCGCTGTACCTTAATAATATAAAAGATTGTATTTGCCTGCATTTCCTGTTCGGAAAGTGGCAATATACTGAGAGTGGAAGTGTCCTGAGATTTGCACCTGCAGGCAGGCTCCATGGACCTGTCAGCTCCGGACTGAGCAAAATGCGTACATGAAGCGCTACGTCATGAACGCAAGAAATGTATTTTGATGTTATTTACATGTATATGAAACGGAACACATTTGTGTGTGCATTGAAAATCACAAGTGTGGATCCGGAAATAAAAGTGTGAATCCTTTTGCGGATCATGAAATACAAGTGTGAATCCTTCTGTGTGCATGTGTGTATTATGAGACTGTTCTGAGCCCATAGTATCCCATCGGCATCGAAATCCAGCAAAGTTCCCCAAAGTCGCTCTAACCTGACAAAGTTACCTCAAGCTGTGTGAGTGCACTGAGAAACTTTGTGTTTAAATAACTCTTTGATCCCTCCATCTTTAACTTCCTTTTCCCCTCCAGTGTGCCTCCCTGCCTCTGATACTCCCTCACCTCTTCCCCTTAAACCACCCACTCATCTTCCTTTCCCCAAGTGAGGGTATTAGGTTCACACAGTAGAATATAGATGAATCCAGCACGGACACCTTTATTGATTTCTCCCACACCGCAGACACCAGGGATAATGAAAGGGTTTTCCTTGCTTCCCCCCAAGTAGCCTTGTGTCATATTTCTTCTGGAGTTCTGGAAGTGGAAGACAGATGAAAGATTTAGGCTTTATGAAAGAAGTTATTAAACTCTTCTTGTAGAATATGCTCACTGTAAGCGGTATGTGGCTGGTACAGTAAATAACAATAGGAAAAGATAACGGAGACAGTTTGTTTTTCTCTCAGTTGACTATTAGCTATTTGCTGTTGCCTTAGTATGTTTTCAAATATTTCGTTAAATGTGATCATTTACAACCTGACTTGTTTTCCCTCAATTTACACAAAAGCAGGCTTATCTTTTCTTTTCTAGCAACTACATTTTTACAAGGCGGCTGTTATTAGCAGATTTGATCAGAATAACAATCAAGTTTATTTCCCAACAAGTCCTCCAACTCATACGACCAAATAGGTCGATTGTTCAGCAGCTTATTACGACCTATAGTCACGTTTTAAAGTTTAGCACCTCCAGTGGTCGTGTAAGAAACAACAATTTGCGGCAATTGCAAACGCTCTGGAGAGTCGTATATTCACAAATAACCCTCTCTGGATGTTACGATGTGAGGTGCAGGTAAAAAAACAATACGTGGAGAGAGGGTTTTCTTTCAAAAATAAACAGGCGTTTTATTTCTTAGCCTTCCATATTCTTTTACAGGAACACAAAACTTCATGCCTGGTGCTGCGTTCACCAGCAAGGAACAAACAAAAATTCCCCCCTCCACTCTCTTCCCAACCACATTTATAGGAGACTGCCCGCCTTCCAAATCCAACCTGGCCAATCAGGTCATGGCTCTGAAAGCGGAGTGAAGGGTTGAATACAACATTAAACACTGTTGTCTACATTTAATAAAACCCTAAAGGCTTAAGTAAATTCATAATTGCCTCAGCATAAATATGGTACCTTCAAAAACAACAAGGTCTGCTTAAAACGGATCATTTTAAACCTAATTGACACTCATACAATCACACATTTCCTGACCGATCACGTCCAAGACTCCGCCTACTCATACAGCACATATAACGAGTACTTTGGAGGCGTGCTCCCCCTTTGAGCACTGGCACAAGATGGCTTCCAGGTCTGAACAAAGGAAACGGTGATTACTTTGTGATTGTGTGTTTTAAAGACTGACAAATTAATTTAGATGCATTTTATTAATTTGTCTATGTAAACAGTTTTTATAACTTTAACTGAAATAAAGACAACTCTGAAGAAACATGTTCTACCTTTCTTAACAAACAAATAGTTAAGCTAAAATGTTAGTGAGGGGGGGTGTGCGCTTCCTCACACTGGAAGATCCTAAATTGTAGAATAGTTTGGCCATTAAAATGCTTTTTGATTAGATTTCTAGCGAGAAGTGCATATTGTACTTTTAGAATCCACGTTCAGTGGATGTGTAGGATCTATAGTTTGCTAGATATTACGAAGATTATTTGAGGTCTC